CTTACTAAATGAAATACCGTGTCAAAAGCTACTATTTATAGTCTGTTCTGTAAATAAGTTACTAACGTGATCATTGTTGTTAAACATGACCGATATTGTAATTGTGGATGTCATTTATTTTGTTATTTTTATTCTCCTGCCTTTTTTTTCTCTCAATATAGAAGAAAACGGAAAGGGTAATTTAATTGTTAAATTATATTAAAGAGTGTAATAACAATATGTGATACGATGATACTTAATCTAATCTTAAGTATTGTATTATTGTAATAAAATTAAAAAAAAAAGCCTTCTCAATTATGAATATAACTTCGAAACGAGTATCACACTATTCTTATTATTTTTCTAAAGATTTGTTTATGTATTGCTAATTTTCTGCCATCGTTTCCTTTGCAATAATAGTTGCAAATAAGTAATAGTTGCTGTAATAGTTATGTTTATATAACTCGGAAACAGTTGTTTGTTTTGGTTAAATAAACAAATAATATTAAATTCGTGTCGTCGTGGGAGAGTCATCATCATAATCATCATCATCAACAACCTTTAAAAGCCCACAACTGAACATAGGCCTCACCTTAGAAAAGGGTGGGTGGGTTTTGGCCTAATATACCACGATAAACAGACGAGTTGGTATAGGATTTGTATCAAGTTCTCTTTGAAGTGCTCTTGTCCTGCTTAGTTTGCTCCCTGAGTAAGCTCCTACGACACCGACGGGGTGAATAGGGGTGATGAAACTCCATTCTTAATCCTTCTCCACACGGACAATCATGCTTTGCACAAATGCGCCGGCTCGACACAGAAAACCAATATTAAGACTGCACGGATGGCGTAGTGGTTTAAGCGGTCGCCACGCCGCTTCCTACTACGCCGAGTGTTGTGGGTTCAAACCCCACATGGGACGACACTTTGTGTGATCCACAAATTGTTGTTCTGAGTCTGGGTGTTCTTTGTGTCCGTTTCATGTATGTTTGTAAAGTCCCCCGCGACACAGGATATTTTCCTAATGCGCGAGTTGTCTTTTTAAACAGAAAAGTAATACTTTCTTAACTTTTTGTCACCGAAACCCGAAACCCCCTCACAACTGTCTGGTATAGGGGGACTCAAAGTGTGGCAACGCACTTGTTATTCATGAGACGTAGGGATCCATGGGCGGGGGTTATCATTGACTATCAGGTGACCTGTCTGCTACGGCCCTACGCCATATTATATTATATTTCAGTGGCTAAACGGTGTTTGAATATATGTATTTGATCTCTGACAACGTTCTTTAGTCCATACTTATATTATAAATTAGAAAGTGTGTCTGTCTGTCTGACTATCTGTCTGTCTGTCGATTACCTCTTCACGCTTATGCCGCTGAACCGATTTAGATTAAATTTGGCATAGAGATAGTTCGAGTCTCGGGAAAGGACCTTTAGGGAGTGGTTCCACCTAACTTTTTACGGAAAATCAATAACCGCTTAACCGATTTAGATGAAATTTGGTGTGGAGATAGTTTGAATGTTGAGGAAGGACATAGGACTTTTTACTTTTTCAAATAATAAACGATATAGACGCAAGCAGAGCCGCGAGCAAAAGCTGTAAATAAATAAACAATGATTTATCGTTGTCCATGAAACATCTTAAATTTCTTCCTTGTTTCTATAGAGGTGTATATATGATATACCTATAGTTAAAACGTGATGTTTCATAGATTACGTGTCGCTGTCAATCCCGGTTGTAATAAGCGTTGGCATTTGATGTGACAATGGGTACGGATATATTTCCTGATCGAAATCAATCCTGCCTATCCAATCGAGTTGAATCCTCTTATCACTTGACACAAAAATTAAATTGAGTAATCCAACACCTAAATTTATTGTCCAATAATAAGTGAAATACAGTACAGTATGAAATATTTTAGGTTTGTTCCGAACGTAATATTTGGAGTGAAAACTTCTTTAGGCGCGTTGGGTATTTTTGAACAACAAACAAAAGAATGTATTTTTTGAGATGGGGAAAAACCATTGAACTCGCTACACTGTTACCGTTACCGACACTTCTGATATTATAACTATATATTGTGTATATACGTACAACATGATATATATTCATGTCGGAACTTTTATAACCGAAAAAAACTAAAAGTACCTGTGATAAAAAAATAAAAAATTACAAGTTTTCACTTCGGTCGGCACCCCCGGAGTGCCACTGTTTTTTTTTGCAATTTTATATGAGGGTTTAGCAGACGAGTCACCTGATGGAAGTGACTAACACGCCTACATAGGCTTACATATCACTCAAGGCGTACATACACCTCGAGTGATACCACGGTCTCACGGAAAGTCGGTTTTAAGCAACTATAGGCCTAAACCGCCTCTCCCCAATTATGGGTAGAGGCACTCAACGTCCTGAGTTGTATATGGCGATGGGCGGTAGTAATTACTTACCAACAGCGGACTAATCTACTATACTATTAAAAATTCTTCAAGATTTTATAATGTCTTAGTAGATCAACGATTTGGAGTGCTTGTACTACTAATAATAATAAAATCTCAGTAAACTATACCCCATGCGTTTCATACACACATCTTCAAATATGTTGTTTAAATTCTACTTTGAACTCAAATAAAAGACCCTCCTTCAACTAGCGCTATCCAACCAGAGTTCCTAAACATTGTACACCTCTGAACTTGGGTAATTTGTATAATAATTTGCGCCAGACGGATAGCTGGTGGGAAACTTAAACGTTTACTGACGTAAGCTCGTTCTGTCGTCACGTGTCTTTGAGAACTTGTTAGTGTTGGCACCTACTTGTGAGACTGTACAATCGACTTTAGTTAACGTTTATAAGTGATAATTGATATCATCATCATTGTCATGTAGCACTTCTTCCGATTCTATTTAAGGTCTGCGAAATGCATAACAAAAGGGTTTTGGCTAGTTTTTCAAAGCTCTACCCGTAAAGCTCATTTCATAGTTGAAGTATCGCACTAGGCGTCATCTATTTATTTGTAACAATAATCCAACCTTACATATAAATGCACATATATACACACATACACTACGCACACACTCACGCACACACTCACTCACACTCTCGCACACACTCATATGCAGCTAGCTATTTATTATGTTACTTAAATTGTGAATTGTTTTGTGATAGTTAGATAGCATTATTTAAAAATGCTTATTAATTGTAAACTCAGACTGCAGTAGTTCGGTGAGCCCAGGGTGGCGTACCATGTACCATGTACGTATGCTCGTCTTGTGATTAGAGGAGCCAATAGGACAGGGTAATCAACTACCTATCTTCTCACTTTGCATATACATATTGTATGTTAAAACAATAACGGGTTCATGAACACAGGTTTCTCTCTGCTGCATTTACTTAGAAGGAATGATGGCCAGGTCAATATTTCACCATAAGTCATTACATTTTGGAATGATTATTTTATAATGCAGTGCAGCAAAAATTGGATTGTAATTCAGAAAATATACTGCGCATTTCATGCCAAAATATATATATTTTTAGGACACCTTTAGCGTTTGTAGTCGGTTTTCACATCATTTAAATAGAAAGATAATATAATTTATTTCATTTTACTGTCATTAAAACTTGTCAAGAACTACTAAACAATAAAATTAGGCAGCTATTAGTCAAACATAGCAGAAGTTGTTTCTTAACTGTTTTGTCTCGGTTATTTATATATACTAGAAATCGCCATAGACCCTTTGAATGTCTTCTTACTTTTACTTATGTATACTTTCATTGTATAAGCTATTGTAACATGACAATTTTATAAGGTTCGTCTTTTGCACATAGGTAATTTTTACTTTGTAACATCATCATCATCACATCAACAGCCTATGATAGTTCACTGCTGGACATAGGCCTCTCCTTAGAAAGGAGGTTTTGGCCTACTATACCACGCTGGCCAGACGGGTTGGTATAGGGTTTGTTTCAAATTTTCCTTCTCTGTGCAGTGCTGTTGTCTAGTGTAGTTTTCTCCCTTAGTCGACTTTTACGACACCCACGGGATGAATGGGAGGGGGGGGGGATGACATTACGTATTCTTAATCCGTCACCACACGGATATCCGATATGGTGTCCGTGTATACTCAGGAAGAAAGAAGGGAGAGTTCGCACTTCCGAGAGGCTTTGCCTTGTTGGCAATAGGTATATCTAAGATGCTCACCAATAGTTCCCTAATGCTACTTTGTATCACATATCGCAAAAAAATAGTTGATGCATTTCTGATACATGAAATTTAAGTATGCCGAATATAATACGTTTCCCTGCGCCATATTGGTATTAAGGGAATTTGAAGAATTTGTGTGTAAAAAAAAGATTAGTCGGGTTAGAAAAACATAACATATTACAACAACATTTTATTTTTGAATCATTTTATTTTCATAATGACAGCTAATTGCACATATTTTCCATCCATTGACTAATTACAAGGCATTTTGCATGTATATACATTTTATTTACTTATTATTTACAATTACAAAAATAATTTTAGAATAACACAGTTCTATAAAGCTATTTCTAATGACTATACGTTTATTGAAAAAAAGTACATTCGTCAATGGGCTCAAAGTTCATTATTGAACTTCATAAATGACGTAAGTACTTTTATTCTAATTAATTAGACAATATTTACACATTTCACATTAAGTTACTAGTATTTGGCTATTTCTTTACATTAAATATTTTCGTATACTTAATGGGCTTTGTACAAATAAATTTATTAAATGACTAATATTATATTTTTACATTTTATATAGTTCATATTTTATATGATTAACTATTCTTAAGTTTAAACTTGTTACATATACTTTTCAATCTATAGTTTTTTTAATGATATAGGTTTTATTCCTCACACAGAAAACATAAATGTGTTTTTCTTATCCATATAATGTTGTAGTAATCTACAAATAACATTTATTTTTCTAAAATAATGAGAAAACTCTTATGCCGTCTTATAAACATTCTTCTAACTCTAAAACAGGTAACTTCTTCAACCTGCAATGAAAAGAAAAAACACTTTAAAAATATTTAAAAGTTTAGGGGTAGGGGTTTAGGGGTAGGTAGAAGCATATTAAACAGCCCCATATTCCAATAAATAGAGCAGATAAAATAAATAGTTTTCACAAATTGAATTGTTACTGTTTTTAAATTTATTATTATATTTTAAAATAACGAAAATAAATATTTAAGTAAATGATTTGACAATAGTGAGGCATGACGTCATAACTCATTACTTAATTTTAACGGACCGTTTTGACGTTTTATTAAGGGTTGAAAACACTTAAGGGACCCTTGCTGTTTTTGCGCTTGTGTTTCAATTACAGATTTTAATACATAGATTAAGAAAGAATTAAAAACTGATTATAATTTTAGCTACGCAATATTTTATTAGAAGGACCTACTAAGTCTCCATCGCACTATTAGGCATACATTAATGTTGTATTTTCTTAAACACATATTTTCCTTCGAATATAAAAGAGAAATAAAACTTTTTAAAACAACCTTATTTGTGAATGATTGTAGGAATCCATAATAAACAGTCTGTTTAAGAAAGTAGGCACGAAATCCTTTGTCTTTGATATTTGGTTTCTTGATCACAATGGACCTATAAGTTTTAATTAATTACAATGTAAATAATACGGAAACTTTGAACTTGGTTCTCGTCAAAATGTTCATTCGTTTTGTGGTGAAAACTTTTAATTTAGTTACTACTAAGATTGATTACATCTTCTCTGTATTCTTAGTCGTGTCACTTTTTATAACGTTAGTTGCTTTTAACCTTTTTGCCTAATTTTTCATTGCCTAAATATGCTCGAATATGAACCCTTATATTATATTACCTATCACTAATATTTTAAATTAGAATAATTTAACTTAATTGTGTTTAAAATAACAAAACTTATATATAAAAATAACTTTACTGTATTCAATACAATGAGTCACTTAAAATACTTATACAGTTTAAAGTAAGTTTTATTAACACTAGAGACTGTTATTGTTATTACACTAAAGGGTAGAAAACAAACTATTTACTTTGATTCTAACTTAGCTCTAACTATAAATTATTATTAATTTCGTAGTAAATATTAATGCTTTACACATTTTCTTTACATTCTCGGAACGCGTTACTAGTTTGCCGAGAGCCGAAAGAGAGATCATTGAGACTTATCTGACATTTTTTTTTAAATTTAATCGCAGTGGTGGTATAACTAGCACGAGATACCCTCAAGGCACTCATTGATAAGAGGAGAATCTCACTATACCTATATTACTACTAACGAGAAAGTCCGGTTAGTTATTAGAGAATCTTAATTAAGAGTGAATCCAGTATACCCAATGGTCTGTTTAATCAATAGTGTCCAAGACCCGTTAGAAAAACTTACGTCCGTATCACTGAACTGATTCAATTTCAACATTTCTTTCACATAATACCTTGGGGATGATTTGGGGTCTCGTAAAACTCTGGGTAATTCCTATTGGTACCGTCAAACTAAAACAATTTAAGGTTACTTGAGTTAAGGTCGGGTTCATGGCCATAGAATACTTATAAGTGATCGAAGTCGCAATTTCTTTGTTTGAACCATTTTAATGTCTTACCTGATAAGTTTTCAATAATAAAAGTAAAATTTGGGTAAGGTTAATATCTAATATATAAAATTCTCGTGTCACGTGTTAGAAGTTGAATTCCTCCGAAACGGCTCGACCGATTTTCGTGAAATTTTGTGTGCATATCGGGTAGGTCTGAGAATTGGCCAACATCTATTTTTAATACCCCTAATTATTATTTTTTTGACAAAAAAAAAATGAAATAATGTATATGGCAAAACAACGTTTGCGGGGTCAGCTAGTATCTACGTAAGATAAAAAGGTTATGGTAGAATGTGTTTATTTATAACAGAGCATAGTTGGAATTTAAACCATTTAGCTTTTTCAATTAATTGCTCATGACATTACCATAGGAAATACCATGGGACTTCTGTCACTACAATGAATATGATATTACAATTATTATAGTTAACATTAATGTGTATGTCTTTATGCGCAATGACCTTAACTACATTAATTATTGGAATATAAATTTTGTTAATGCGTAATATATCAATATTACACCATAGACTAAGTCACATTAAAAGTCACAACAGCTAACGTTAAACTGACGCATAGACAAAGTATACGACGCAATGTTTTGTTTTAAACCTATACGTTAAACTCACACATAGACAATGTTTTATGAGCAATAAAGCTGCCCAATCTAAATATGTCTACACGGTGTAATATAAATGAAAACATGCTACGAAACTAAAGATATAAATTTTCAAAAATTGTGTATATTTGGAGCAGCGTACATGTGCCCTTAGAAAAGAAATGATTTGAATAATTTCTTTGTTCGTTTTCTTTTCAAACAAAACTATAACATTTCATAATACTTTTCAGTTCTCTTTTTGCGTATACTTGTTTTGAATTTGTGTAGGATTTTTAAAAGTTCTACCAAATAGAAAATCTGATTAGCTGGGCGTTCTGTTCCACGTTTTATCTAAGCAAACTCTTATTACAAATTAGAAAACTTTCCCTTTTAACTGAAAGCTGTGTGTTATGGAAATTCTGAATAAACGTTTGGCTACCCAACTGTTAAATGTTTTAGTTTAACTTTACTAAGACTGAATTATAATGATTTTCCGAAAGGACATTCTAATATACCGAAGGCAGGTCCAATATTTACATTACATTCATTAGCCAGCTAGTATAACATACGTTCACAATTCGTACAAGGTGCGTTCTTTGTTCTAATTTAATTTAATGTTAATTTCAGAAAAATAAATCAATTACACACACCTAATTTACACACACATCTACCTTTATAAATTGTAATGATAAATTGCATTAGTTTACCATGCTATTAGTTTCATCGTGAATTTCAAAACTCCTATTGTTAAGAAGTAAAAAACGGAATGAGTCAATAAAAAAAAATATATATTTTATGTACGAATTTACACAAACGAAACAACTGTTCTGTTTCCAACGAATGTGTAATATGTTTTCGTTGTTTATAAAATATTTAAAGCCGAAACTTCAACTAGATGAATGAATAAAATGTGCGAACGACTAACTCGTTTAGTGCCCGACGAGGACGACGCTCGCTTTGAACAGACAGTTTAATGATTTCTCTATCTAGAGCTCAAAGGAAAGTATTCCATAATTTTACAAATATTTTTTAATGCCTACAGATTAAACAGGGGTATGAATATTATTCTCCATACCGCTTTTTTTCTATATCATTTTTATTCGTTAGAAAAATAACAAATCACAACACTAACAAATGTCGTGATTTTATGATCAAACTAATTCAATCGATTAACTTTTTTTCTGTCAGTTTATTATTTAAGCGCTGATGGTTTTTGACACATCAAAAACTCTGACTTAGTTAATTGAATTGGGTCAAACTAACATATATAACAAAATAGTTCACTAATTATTAAATAATATTTATTAGACAGTATTATGACTCGTAACTTCAGTGGTTACACGCCATTTTAAGTAAATATTTATTTTAACGCAATCGGGTTTTCTTCATTAATTAGTTTGTTGACAAATATAACTTACATTTGCAGTTATCTAATAAAAACATGACGTGTAATGTGTGTTTTTGCAACACGAAGTTTTTACAGTATCTATAAAATGTATTGGTGAACAACACACAACCCAAAATAATTAAACAAATAAATAGAAGAAAATTTATATAATTCAAACGATTGACTAAATGCACTGAATTCACTCTTTGTTAAATTTAACGTGCCTATTGCTAATGAACATCTCAATGACCTCAATCTGAAATATTAAAACGTTAAACGGCCATTTTATTTTAGCTACAACGTCAAGTATATTAGTTTATCTAAATGACCCGTCTACTTACCTTTCAGTTTAAAGCGCGGACACAATGGGCTCCTTATCCGAATTATTAACAGTTTTATCTACAAACATATACATATTAACGTAGTCTTCATTAGGACTTGGATTACCTTCGGGTTTCTCATCTGGACTAATATTTTCTGCATCATCTTCACATTCTTTTAGCTTATTGTTGAACTCGATCTTATATCTAACTGAAGGTATTTTACTAACAGTTGATGTTAAAAGTGATTCTTGTACAGTATCATTACCATTACAAGTTTTTTCTGAACGAAACATTCCTGTTCTCTCTGATTGATTCATTGCCCTCTTCGATCTTTTTGTGACCAATGCCCCTAAGCATGGCAATATCTGCATGAACTCTTTTCTAAAGTTTTCATTTAACCATGCATACAAAAAGGGGTTGTAGCAAGTGGAAGACATAGCTATGAAATGTGCAATGAAGAAAAATACCATATAATACTTCCAGTCTTCTGTAAAAGAGTAGAAGTCACTACAAATGTTAATAAGGTTCAATGGTAGCCATGACAGACCAAATATAGCTACCATTGCTATTAACATTCTATTTGTTCTCCTCTTTCTTTCTCTTTCTGCATCTTCTTTTTTACTATTCTTACTTCCAGGTCTAGATTTTAACCTATCGTTTAATTTTATACTAACACAAGTGTAACAAAATGCCATAACTATAAAAGGAACTACAAATTGCATTATAGTAGTGACTGCACCAAATGCTTTGCGTATCTGATCTGAAGGCCATTTTTCTGCACAAAATAGATCTTGAAGAGCCATGTAGTATCCGTAGGGGAACGTAACCGAAAGAGAAAATACCCATATAAAAACGATCAAACATATGCATGTCTTAATTTTCATGCGAGGTTTGAATGGATATATAATGACAAAAAACCTATCTATAGCTATGGAAGTGAGAGTGAGCGTTGAAATATAGACGCTACATCCTTGTGCATAAGGCATTATATGGCACAAGGGCCCTCCGAATACCCATCGTCCGAGGAAGGTGTAAAGTGGTGTAAACGGTACTGCAAATACGCAGAGAAGTATATCGGACAATGCAAGATTCGTGATAAAGAGATTAGTGACTGTTTGCATAGCTCTATTCCTGATCACAGCGTAGCATACTAGCGCATTGCCAAAGATACCAACTATGAATATAATTGTATATGCTGTTCCAAAGGCGGCTTGAACTGTCTTATCGTCAATGATGTTGGTTGCATTTTCAAGGCATTCATCTCCATAACTGCTTAGATTGTCACTGACTGTTGGATTATCGGTGGTCCATTGGTCGATCGGCATAATTTTGTCTTGTTTTTAACTTGGCATCATAAACCTTTTTGGTTTTCTGTTGTTATCATATTTGGTATGTATTCTTTTATTTACTTCTATGTAGAGCAGAGTGTGTCTCATGTTATGTATATTTACAATCAACTGTGTTTATGTCTGTTTGCTTTAGATATGTAGATGATTTGAATTTAAAGCGTTCATGTTCATATCCAATCGATCATTCTGGATTATAGATGTAAATCTGAAACAAAGGAAAATGTACTATTACAAATTTATCTAAGAAATACAAAATACTAATATCGAAGAAATTGTTTTTGATAACGTTTATACTATATCGTTAATACTTGTTTTGTGGCGTGATCAGTAAATAAAAATAGTCAGTAAATAAATATTTTACGGATGTATATTCACAAGTTCAATCAGTAGGTAAGTGTTTTCAAATCGTAAAACTGAATCTGTTGAAATAGTTTTATGTTGAAGGAACGTATAATACCTATAAATATAAAACCAAAACACGTAATGGTATCATAAATAAAATAAGATAAAACTCAGGATGAGATATTTCTAATCGATATTTATAGACAAAGAGGATTATCGTAATTCGGCATCGATTTTGATACCTATTTGTAATTTTAGTTTTCTAAATTGTATCTACACCAGTGAAGTAAGGATATAAATGAAGAAAGTACTATTTGATAAAAAACTACACTGATGAGCACAAAAAACAAGATAATCAATTATGCATTTCATATAAAAATGTTCTAAGACGAGGTTTTATTTATTGTTCATCAGTAAACAAATAATTATTAATTAATCATCACTTTTTATAATTTGTTTAAATAAATATGTTTTCAATAATATACTAATACGTTTATCAGCTGCGTGGTTAAAATGGGTCGGCATCTTTTGTATTTAGACATGCGAATGAGGGATATCTCAAGTTATTATTATTTTTAAATTTATATTTTTAGACTCACCTACAAAAAAAACGAATTACGTATTAATACCAAACAAATAACTATCCAATGTATCTAGATAATTCAGAATAAAGACTTTTTTAAGCACATGTGTTTGCAAATTTTATGTATTTCAAAATAACACATTATAAATGCTATTATATTAATATGATTAACAGCATTTGGCTAAATGTTTAAAAAGGTATCCATCTTCCAACTGTGTGTAAAAATTTCGTTTAATATTTTTTATATACATCACCATTGCTACTGTTTTATTTATCTTTAGACCTTGAGCTGATAAATAAAATTGCTCATCTATATTCTTAGCTTAGCCACATAAGCATCGTTAATACAAATTAACAGAGGTCTAAGTACTTCCAGGTAGCTCAAAATTAACAGTTCATGCCGTCCTAATGGATGCTAATAGCTCCAAAGTTGGCCAGTTTCCAGAATCTTGATTTATTACAATTAATATCGTGTTATCTGAAATTAAATTGGAGTTTTAATCCAAAAGACGAAAAAAAGACGAGTAAGTTATAAAATATAATTGTTACTTTGAGCGAAGTTTTACAAATACCTGAAAACTATCTGAATCTGAAATATCGAAAGAAACTATCTGTTACGCTTTCTCGGCTAAACCAATTTGAATTAAATTTGTCATGGACATACGTTGATTGTTGTCGAAAGAGATAGGCTGCACTTTCAGACCGACTTTAACCGACATTCAGACAACAGCTAGTAATATTTTTGATATAAATACTAGTTTAAAATTATTAAGACACACCGTGATAATTTAAACTTTATATCTTTACCGATTTACGGCAAAGGAAATATGACTGAATAAATTTTTAAGTAAACTAACAAAATTTTATTACTATTTTATGACTTAGCTACATGTATTTTCTTGTGATGTTACCTATGAATAAATTTTAGTGTCCCGTCATCCGGCCGGCTCCGAAGTCGGAAAAGCAATATGCATGCCAATGGTTTCCTTTCAATTTCTTTTACCTTCAGCGTCTCATTACGTTCAATATAAGCGTAAGGCAGCACTTAAACGAATGTAATTTTACTAAGACATATCTGACGTAAAGGTATACGTTTAGTTGAAGTGATCACCTTGCCACTAAGTCCCATTAAAATTTGTTTCTTTAGTGGATGCTAGTAAAAAGTCTCTCGAAAAATCTATAACGGGAGTTTTTAGGTAAAAAAAATAATTTGTATTTTTTTATCAAATTTTAAAGTATTCTTTAAGTATATCAACAAAAAAAACAAATTGAATGAGTTTTAATAGATGGCGCTGGGTATATTATATTGCAATGAATGAATACTTGGTCCGTCGTTGGGGAGTTTTGGTTTGAATTTAGTTGTTTTTAAAATTGATTTGGAGATTTTTTTAAAAAGTTGACGACACTGTTGTCTGATGCTTTATTGACTAGTGATGCCGATGATTAAGTGACTACTGTCGTTTATAGACACCTGCAACTAAAGATCACAGCCTTTAACGGCCATAAAGGTAGATTCGGCAATACTGCAGATATATAGCAAATAACAACATACCTAGAAGTTAAACCATATTAACATTGTATGGGGATTCGAAAATTAAATAATTCTATTACTTTACGTAGGCCGGTAGAAGTGTAAAATAAAAATCTTACTTAAAAAAGTTCTTTAAATCTCGATATTTATTTTAATATGGTAACCATATTTTGAACTTCGTTGCTAATAGTATTACAGTTTATAATGCAATGGTATAAGCAAAACAACTCAATATTTCTGGTGTAATAGTAATCATCCTTATAAATTATTAACAAAAGCTCATATTGCTTATTATTATAATTGAATTTGACTTCCGATTGGTCAGCTTCTTGCCTTAGCAATTGCTAAACAGTATCCATTTTCTTTTATTCTCCGATAAATTAAATTGTTACTGTTATTATAAAAATTACGGACGGCGACGATTTGCACGTTCTTATACCCAATTGAATTTCTAAATTCCTGCTTTAACTGTTCGAGATTCTCTAGTTTTATTTTAAATAGAATAGCTTTTTATTTAAAACAGAAAATTTAATTATAAACTGATAATTAAAATTCTTTCTTTTAAAGTAATTACATGATAATAATTGCTGCCCAAGGCAGTTGGTGAAGTTCCTCTGAGCCTTTTTTTCAAACTAGGTTGGGGTTGGTGTTAGGTCTATTAGAATACGGCTAAGCTTCGATTTTTGATTGGAGCGCCTTCAGAACGTCGAAACCCAAGTACTAGGCGATATCAAAGTACTGTAGGAAGACTGTTGTAGGACTTTTTAGGGCTCCACCTATCGTATCGTATTTCAACCGGGACCGACGGCTTAATGTGCTCTCCGAGGCACGGAAGGTTCTCAATGCCTTAAATTTTCACCCATCCATAAACTGACCTAGCCAGGATTGCTTAACTTTGAAATGTCGGTTACCAGTTACCACTTAGTCACGAGCAATTCAACATTCGGTGTAATTTATCTATAATACGAGTATATATGTATTTAGAAATATTTAAGTATGTTTATCAACTGTCAGGTTACCATTGTACGCACCACTGCGATGGCCAGACCGTGGACACGGCTCTCCACACGCTGGCAGAGTGCCCGGCGTGGGTTGAGCAGAGGCGAGACCTCGTGGCGGCCATCGGAGTGGGAGTTCTCTCGCTCGATAGCCTGATTGCGGCTATCGTGCGGAGCGAGAGTGCGTGGAACTCTGCCGTCTCCTTCTGCGAGCAAGTTATGCTCGCGAAGGAGATGGCGGAGCGGGACTGCGAGAGGTTTAGGACTCTCCCGGCCCGCCAGGCCCGGGAACGGGCCAGGTACCGCAAGCGACTCAGGCGCTGGAGGTCGCAGAACGACCTCCGTCCTCCATAAGCGCAGGCCTGGGGTGACAGGTGAGGCCATCTGTCACCCTAGCAGAAGCAGGCCGGGGTGACGGTGAGCGCGTTGTGAAGCGCGCTCGCTTCCAGGGAGCAGAGGGAACATGGGGTTCCCACACGGGGGGGGGGGGGTCGTCTACCTGTTATTGTAGATGGCCCGAGGTATGTCAGGGCACCAGGGACTTCCTTTCTAGGGTTATACCTGGTTCCCCGGCTATTAGTACCCGAGACGGCGTGCGGTTTTAGTCAGTTCGAGTCCGACATGCCACCGACAGGTGGTATCCGAGGGGATTTCCGCACGAAAAAAAAAAAAAAAAAAACGGTTACCATTGTACGGGCTCTGACTAATTTGGGATCAGACTGCCGTGTGTGAGATGGGTGAAGTTATTACTATAGTTATTGTTTTTATTATTGTTAAAAGTTATATAATTGTCTCTCTGCAAAGGCCCATCTGTGTGTATCATGATCATCATCATCAGCCTATCGCAGTCCACTGCTGGACATAGGCCTCTCCCATTACACGCCACTTAGATCGATTTGGGGCTTCTCGCTTCCAGCTCCTGCCAGCCATCTTGCGCAAATCGTCACTCCACCTGGCCTGTGGGCGTCCTACACTAAGTTTGCCGAGACGTGGTCTCCACTTAAAAACTCGTTTTCCCCAACGGTTGTCGGTTCGTAACTTGGGAAGATTAGGTGGCATATCCTATGGCTATGTAAAGTCTGTGTGTATATTGTGTTTTAAATTGAACCCTGAAAAAAACCTCTGGAGCTGGAGCAGTTAAGTCATTTTTAAAAGTGTATAATAATCTCTGCTAAGGAAGTGCCAAAAACCTAGAAATACGTATAGGCAACGTCGACATTTGATGTCACAGCCCTAATGACGTTTCCAATAACAGGACGGACATATATCGATACGTGACCGAGCCTTCGAGATAATGCAGTCTCAGTTCCATTTAACCGTTTCCATCAGCCTATCCACTTTCCTTACTGTAACCTTTTTCGATTGTTACGTCTAATCGAAAGACTGGTATTGTCGATATGTTCTCCTTCAATAATTTCCAGTAGAGGTTAAGACTAACGTTACATGGCTTTTAAGATAAATTCTATGACGCACAGGTGATTCGAGAGCTCGAGAGAGTAAACAAATAAAAATTGTTAAACAC